ACCAATCCATGAGTGGATTAATAAAATGTGGTATATGTATACCATGGAGTACTATTCAGCTTTAAGAAACAATGGTGATATAGCACCTCTTGTATACGGTTTTTTTTTTTAAGGGCAGGTGTGAATATGTCTAGCTTCCAGACCTCCCCAAGCCCCGGTGGGCTGCCACCCTTGTGACCTCATGTCCTCCACATCCGCCCCTCTGCACTTGAGGTGCGCACACCTGGGCCAGACAGTGCACCTGGGGGGAACCGCCCACCCGGCCTCAGGTTCGTGCACCTGGATGTTCTCTCAGAGGTCGCTCCTCCCTGAGCCGGCACTCTCTGCAGGGAACCTCAGCTGCTGTCAAGGGGAAGTAAAAGCCACTAGAGCAGATCTGTGTGGTCTTCCCCACCCACCTCGAGCCCCTGTGCATGCAACGGGCATGAGCCCGGCTTTCCCCCCCTTGAGGGCTGGATCCCGCTCTGTCTAGGTCCCTCGAGACCCCACCTGGGTCTTTCCAGCCTTTCTGTGCTCGGGGGAGGGGGGCTCACGCACGGCACCCGAGAGATGCTCAGTCTGCCTGGTTGCAGCCTGGGCTGCAGATTCCGTGAGGGCCTCCAGGTGACTCTAACAGGTGCAGAGCCCCACTGGGTCTAGGTAACCCCCTCTGCCGGGCCGTTACGTGTCTGGGGCATTGACGTTCTTCTTGGGGCCGACTTCTCCCACCGTTGCCTGGTGCGTGAGTGTCCTGGGGCTGCCGTAATGAAGTACCACAGACTAGGGCGCTTAAAACCACAGGTATTTGTCCTCACTCGGTCCCGGACACCAGACGCCTGAGGTCAAGCTGCGGGCAGGTCCGTGCTCCCTCCACGTGCTCCAGGAGAACGTGCTTCCTTGCCGTAGCCCGACCGCGCGGTTTCCCCTCCCCTCCTCGCGCCACGCACCTTCCACGCCGCCAGTGTCTGTGACCTGTCCCAGTGCCCTTGGTGCTTTGCAGCTGAGCTGCCACTCAGCAGGGAGCGGGCAGGCGGGGTAGGCACGGGCCACATTGCGAGACCCCTCAGGTGTTTGTGGTTTCTGCACCTCCTGTCCTTGTCTTTCCAGCTCCGCTGTGAGGTGTAGAGGAGGCCAGAATACAGCACCCCAAATGTGACTAGGAGACTAGAATACAGCACCCCAAGTGTGACTATGAGACCAGAACACATCACCCCAAGTGTGACTATGAGGCCAGAATACAGCACCCCAAGTGTGACTATGAAATAAGAATACATCACCCCAAGTGTGACTATGAGGCCAGAATACAGCACCCCAAGTGTGACTATGAAATAAGAATACATCACCCCAAGTGTGACTATGAGACCGGAATACATCACCCCAACTACGACTCTGGGAGACCAGAATACGCCACCCCGCAGGAGACTATGAGACCGGAACACGCCACCCCAAAGCACGCCCCGTTGGCATGCGGATTATTTTGAGCCGGTTATTTTGAGAGCACATCCAAACACAGCGTCGACGTTACCCTCTGATACAAGGGACATCGGCATGCGTCCAGGGAACCTCTGCTTCCAAGAGCGCCTCCCGCCCGGCCCCGCGATAAGGCGTCTGTAATTCCCGGCAGGCTCCAAGCAGGGCAAGGCGCCGACCTGAATCCACATTGCAACCTTCACTGGCGTTCGCCTTGATTTTCCCGGCCGCCTCCCCGTGGCTGGACTTTCCCGCTCCCTTCTTTTCCATTCCAGCTGAAGACGATATTCGATCCTCAGTTCTCAGCCTCGGCTTTGAGACCCCCTCGCTCTTCTCTGGGCAACTCCTACGCATACGTGAGTGGACGTCCGTTCCTAGACGTGTGCTTGTGTTTCTCTCGTTAACGCATCTCTTGTTTCGGGGGGCCTCAGCCAGCGAATCCCGGGTGAGTGGAAGGAAGAGACCTCTCTCCTCGCCGTGGCGTTTCACGAGCTCATCTCCCTTCCTCGCGGAGGCCCCTTCCACGCTGCTCCGGCGACGGTACGGAGCAGCGGCTGTGCCCCTTTCGGGAGAGTGTGAGTCACTAAATTTGTTATGACAGTTCCCCATTTCGCTTCCTCAGAACCGAGCTCCCACCGGCGTCCTTCTTGTCACTGTGATGGTGCAAAACCACACACTTCTTTAAACTTGACTTAAAAAAAACCCAAAAAACCCAAAACCAGCCCCATCCTGAACAGCCCAAAGGAAGCATGCACAATAATTTTGCTAATCTGCTTTCTGTCTCTACAGAATTACCTGTTGTAGATGTTTTATACAAATGCAAAATCAAACTATGTTTTGGCCTTTTCGTCCATGCCCTACCCGCTTTCTCTTCTCTCGGTTTCCACAGACTGAGTTTTCTTGTCCCCTTTCTACAGACTCCGGTCCCCCTGCAGGTACGAGCTGCCAAGTTCCGCGTCCCAGAGCAGCTCCGCAGATTAAAAGCACATCTCATTTACGGCTTCTCAGATTTAAAGCAAAGACAGAACGATCTGCATCTCACACAGGAAACCCCCGATGGACGGTTCCATCTTGACTTCAGCCGTCCGGGTCGGAGCCGAAATGTTTCATTTCTGAAATGCTCCGGGCGCGGCTGACACAGAGGTTAACACGCAGCACCCCCTGACATCCCCGTGCGGACCCTGTTCCTGCTGGGACCCCAATTCCCGACCCGCAGGTCCCCGCTGGCCCGACCAAGCAGAACGAGGTACCCCCGTGACTCAGCACGTCGTTCAAGCGCCACAGAGGCAAGGAAGCGGCTTACCCCGCGGCATCCGTCTGCCCGCCGTCAAACCACTTTTCTTCCCTCCTTTGCCCGGCACGCCGGCATCCAGACGCCTGCGTTACGGACGGTCTCCCTCCTCGGAAAGCGAGCACGCCGATTCCAGGGCCGCGAAGTTTCAGGCCAGGCCCTTCCCTTTTTCCTTGAATTCCTCCTCCTAACCTCATGCTTCCTCATTTTACGTAAAATTGAGAAATCCACGACCAGCGAGCTCATGGTCTCCCAGCCTGCGCTCCCAAGACTGCCCACACACCCCCTCGTGCCGTCTACGAAGTGCCGAGAAGAACCAAGCAGAGGTGTGTTCAGATGCAAGCAGTTGACGCCTATACAAAGCACAGGGCTCCGTAGACACGTGATCAAAGATGACGCCGGGACGGTAACGACAGCAGACGCAAAAGGCAGCTGCACAGACTGCGTCGCCTCCAGCGTCCTGCTCCCGAAGAAGCCGTGTCTTAGACCACTGTGTTGCTATAAGGGAACACCCAAGGCTGCATAATAGAGAAACGAAAGAGGTTTGTGCAGCTCACCATTCCGCAGGCTGTATAAAAGTGTGGCACTAGCGTCTGCTTCTGGCGGGGGACCCAGGCCATCTGCACTCACAACACAAGGGGAACAAGAGATGTCACAAGCAGAGGTGGCATGGCCAGAGAGAAACCGGAGAGAGAAGTGGGAGGCGCCAGGGTCTTTCCAACAACCAGCGCTTGTGCAAACTGAGCGCAAGAGCTCGCTCACTCTCTGGAGAATTGCAGAAGGCTATTTGTGAGGGATCCGCCCCTGAGCCACACAGCTGCCATGGGCCCGCCACCAACACTGGGCATCAAATTTCAACAGGAGACTTGGAAGAGCCCAAAAAACATAGCCAAATCGCAGCAAGCGGCTTCTCTCCAGCATTAATTAGGGAAGGTTCTCGTCCCAAGAGTTCAACCACATGTGCTCACTGAGGCTGCCCAGCCCAGGCACCATAGTGGGTCTTCATGTCCCCAGTGGTGCATATCTGGTTGCTGACTTCCACCATCAGTGTGGAGAAGATTATCTTCCCAAGAGTTCAACCAGATGGCTCACTGAGGGGCACCATGGTGGGTCTTCTTGTTCCAATGCTGCATATCTAGTTGCTGACTTCCGCCATCAATGTGGAGAAGATTATCTTCCCAAGAGTTCAACCAGCTCACCGAGGCTGTCCAGCCTGGGCACCATGGTGGGTCTTCTTGTACCAATATCTAGTTGCTGACTTCCGCCATCAATGTGGAGAAGATTATCTTCCCAAGAGTTCAACCAGGTGGCTCACTGAGGGGCACCATGGTGGGTCTTCTTGTTCCAATGGTGCATATCTAGTTGCTAACTTCCGCCATCAATGTGGAGAAGATTATCTTCCCAAGAGTTCAACCAGATGGCTCACTGAGGCTGCCCAGGCTGGATGCCATGGTGGGTCTTCTTGTTCCAATGGTGCATGTCTAGTTGCTGACTTCCACCATCAATGTGGAGAAGATTATCTTCCCAAGAGTTCAACCA